TGATTATTGATATCAATAACACACACAACCAAGATCGTTACCTGTAGCCTCAGCGATGTTTGATTAAGCTGCTTTAACGTGTGTGTGTATGTGTGTGTGTGTGTGTTTGTGCGTGCGTGTGTCAGAGGTTCGAGCAGCTGTTCAGTTCGGAGGTGTCCCTTTTAGACAACGACCAACGAAGAAGACTGAGTGAACTACAGATCTGGATCACACACTGGAGACAGCAGATACACACACTAACACACACACACTAACACACACTGGAGACAGCAGATACACACACACACTAACACACACTGGAGACAGCAGATACACACACTAACACACACACACACTAACACACACTGGAGACAGCAGATACACACACTAACACACACACACTGGAGACAGCAGATACACACACTAACACACACACACTGGAGACAGCAGATACACTAACACACACTGGAGACAGCAGATACACACACTAACACACACACACTGGAGACAGCAGATACACACAATAACACACACACACTGGAGACAGCAGACACACACACTGGAGACAGCAGACACACACACACACACACACTGGAGACAGCAGACACACACACACACACAGAGTATGAAACACTCAGTATATTCTGAATGGATGTTTTTCCAGAAATCTTCTGAATAAAAACATGAACATTTATTCTGATGATGTTTTATTGTCTCAACAGGACGTCATCAAAGCATGTCTTAAAGAGAGTCCCTCTCAGCGACATCAAAGCATGTCTTAAAGAGAGTCCCTCTCAGCGACATCAAAGCATGTCTTAAAGAGAGTCCCTCTCAGCGACATCAAAGCATGTCTTAAAGAGAGTGCCTCTCAGCGACATCAAAGCATGTCTTAAAGAGAGTCCCTCTCAGCGACATCAAAGCATGTCTTAAAGAGAGTCCCTCTCAGCGACATCAAAGCATGTCTTAAAGAGAGTCCCTCTCAGCGACATCAAAGCATGTCTTAAAGAGAGTCCCTCTCAGCGACATCAAAGCATGTCTTAAAGAGAGTCCCTCTCAGCGACATCAAAGCATGTCTTAAAGAGAGTCCCTCTCAGCGACATCAAAGCATGTCTTAAAGAGAGTGCCTCTCAGCGACATCAAAGCATGTCTTAAAGAGAGTCCCTCTCAGCGACATCAAAGCAGGTCCTAAAGAGAGTGCCTCTCAGCTGTGTGTGCAATCATCCATTGTGAAGTAACACCAAAAACACATGGTATAAAACATGTTAGTATTGAATTACTCGACACATATTCACATGTAGCTTTATGCTAACTCTGCTTCATACGTTAGTCAAATATATATAACCCGGCCGGTACACAGCCAATAGGAGCGCGAGTGTTACGCAGTGATGTCACAAAGTTCAGTCCAATGGAGAGAACACAGGGATTCTATCCTTTGCAGACCCTTTACATGCACTAACACCTATAGAACTACAGGAGAGGAGGGGGTTCCGGAAAGATGTAGCATATAAGCTGTCTTATGCTAAGCTAACGTGACCCTGGAGGAAGACGACCTGCTGGTTCATCAATACTCAGCCGCAGTGATATGTTATCCATAATGACGCTAAATATAAAAACTCTGTCTTCAGTCCAACAAACGGACCAATCAGCAGTCCTCGCTGCTGTGATGTCATCTTCACCTTCAAAATAAAGCGTATGTAGGAAGTCTTTTATTTTGGTAATTCATCCAGGAGAGTCCTCTGAGGAAACTCTATCGATGGAGGCCAGCAGCTGAGCGACCAGAGAGAGGGTCTCCGCCCCCCCCAGCAGCTGCCTGCAGACAGACCGTTGGTAAACAACAACAACAATAACAACAACACCATATGGTAACACCAGCATGTTGAAAGCATTTTAAGATTTTGAGAAAAAAGTCAGATTTTTTTACTGACCGTATGGAGGAGTGGGCGTGGCTTGCCGTCTTGTTCAGGTAATCAGACGCTACCTGAGCGTTCTGTCTCATCGTCATGACGACCTCCGACTCCGCCGCCTTCAGACCTTCGTTCTCCACCTGACACACACACACACACACACACACACACACACACACACACACACACACACACACACACACACACACACACACACACACACACACACACACACACACACACACACACACACACACACACACACACACACACACACACACACACACACACACACACACACACACACACACACACACACACACACACACACACACACACACACACACACACAGTTCAGGCTTACCTTGTTACTGTTTTGGGCCAGATTAGCCTTTATTGGAGGTGTTGAAAGGGGGGGACAGGAGGGACATGGTCCCAGGCCGGATTGGAACCTGGGTCCTCTGCATGGGGACTGATGGGCCACCAGGTGAACTATATGGCACCTTGATACTGATAAGAGGTGGAATAACTCAAGTTTATACAAAAGGACTCACCTGAAGCTGCTGCAGCTCCCACTTCAGTTTGGAGACACACAGCTCTGCCTTCACTGCTCGCTTCTGTACAGACAGACAGGTGAGAGACAGGTGAGAGACAGACAGACAGGAGAGAGACAGACAGACAGGTGAGAGACAGGTGAGAGACAGACAGACAGGTGAGAGACAGACAGGAGAGAGACAGACAGACAGGTGAGAGACAGGTGAGAGACAGGTGAGAGACAGACAGACAGGTGAGAGACAGACAGACAGGTGAGAGACAGGTGAGAGACAGACAGACAGCAGGTGAGAGACAGACAGACAGGTGAGAGACAGACAGACAGGTGAGAGACAGGTGAGAGACAGACAGACAGGTGAGAGACAGACAGACAGGTGAGAGACAGGTGAGAGACAGACAGACAGGTGAGAGACAGAGAGACAGGTGAGAGACAGACAGACAGGTGAGAGACAGGTGAGAGACAGATAGACAGGTGAGAGACAGACAGGTGACAGACAGAGAGACAGGTGAGAGACAGAGAGACAGGTGAGAGACAGACAGACAGGTGAGAGACAAAGAGACAGGTGAGAGACAGGAGAGAGACAGAGAGACAGGTGAGAGACAGAGAGACAGGTGAGAGACAGACAGACAGGTGAGAGATAGAGAGACAGGTGAGAGACAGGTGAGAGATAGAGAGACAGGTGAGAGACAGACAGACAGGTGAGAGACAGGTGAGAGATAGAGAGACAGGTGAGAGACAGACAGACAGGTGAGAGACAGAGAGACAGGAGAGAAACAGACAGACAGGTGAGAGACAGAGAGACAGGTGAGAGACAGACAGACAGGTGAGAGACAGGTGAGAGACAGAGAGACAGGTGAGAGACAGACAGACAGGTGAGAGACAGAGAGACAGGTGAGAGACAGGAGAGAGACAGAGAGACAGGTGAGAGACAGAGAGACAGGTGAGAGATAGAGAGACAGGTGAGAGACAGGTGAGAGATAGAGAGACAGGTGAGAGACAGACAGACAGGTGAGAGACAGGTGAGAGATAGAGAGACAGGTGAGAGACAGACAGACAGGTGAAAGACAGGTGAGAGATAGAGAGACAGGTGAGAGACAGACAGACAGACAGACAGGTGAGAGATAGAGAGACAGGTGAGAGACAGACAGACAGACAGGTGAGAGACAGGTGAGAGATAGAGAGACAGGTGAGAGACAGACAGACAGGTGAGAGACAGGTGAGAGATAGAGAGACAGCTCTACTGCTTGATGTGAACGATGTGGACTGTTTCTACACGGTCCACGGACCACTATTGCGGTAAGCATGTTGTAACTTCCGGTTGTTGTCATCTCCGGGTATCCCGTGTGCCCGTTCTGCTGCTGATAGCTTATTATCTTAACTTAATCGATCGTTTTAAAACTCTTGATCACGGCAACTGCCTGACGTTGTAATCACACGTTACTACAGCTTAAGCTCTCACAACTCTCCTTCTCTTAGCGACTGTAACTCCACAGTTGCCTACACTCCTTTCGGGTTTGCTAACGGTAGCTACTTTAGCTTGATAGCTAGCCATGGCTCTTTCCCCACCCTCGGGTGCTATTTCCTGCTCTAACTGTCTCATGTTTGGTTACTTCCCTACCTCCTTTACTGGTACCGGTACATGTGTTAAATGTAGTATAGTTGTTAGGTTGGAGGCGGGAATCATAGCCATAGAAGCCCGGCTCCGCATCTTAGAAAGTAACTCAGCTACAGTAAAGCCCATGTTAGCCGGTGCGGACCGGCAAAAGGTAGCTCCTATTAGCCGTCCCCCGGCAACTCCCGAGCAGCAGGGAGACTGGGTGACTGTTCAGAAGGGGCATAACGCGAAACCCGCAGGTCCCCACCAACCCGTTCACGTATCTAACAGATATAAAAAGCACTTTCTTTCAAGATAAGATCCAATCTTCCTATTCCAATCCTAAAAAACTATTTTCCATCTTCTCCTCCCTCTTGGACCCTCCAAAAGCTCCTCCCCCCTCCTCACTTCTGTCAAGCGACTTTGTTACCCACTTTGAAAAAAAGGTTAATGATATTCGCTCTTCTTTTTCTGACTCACCTTTACTCACCGCTGGGTCACCAGACCTTCCTTCCACCAACACACTGACCTCCTTTTCCCCTCTCTCTCCAAGTGAGGTTCTTACCCTCATTACCTCTGCCCGCCCTACCACCTGTCCTCTGGACCCTATCCCTTCAAACCTCCTTCAGACTATCGCTCCTGATATTCTACCGTTTCTCACCCATTTCATCAACACTTCTCTAACTTCTGGTCACTTTCCAAACAGTCTCAAGGAGGCAAGAGTAAACCCTCTCCTAAAGAAACCCACTCTCAACCCGTCTGATGTTATAAACTACAGGCCTGTCTCTCTCCTCCCGTTCCTGTCTAAATCACTTGAACGCGCTGTCTTTAAACAACTCTCCTGTTATCTCAATCAGAACAACCTTCTGGATCCGCACCAGTCTGGTTTCAAGGCAGGTCACTCCACAGAAACTGCTCTCATTGCTGTCACGGAGGAACTGCACACTGCCAAAACTGCATCCCTCTCCTCTGTCATCATCCTGTTGGACCTGTCTGCTGCATTCGACACGGTGAATCATCAGATCCTCCTTCGCACTCTCCAAAAACTTGGAGTTTCTGGCTCTGCACTTTCCCTCCTCACCTCATACCTGAAAGACCGTACCTACAGGGTGACTTGGAGAGGGTCTGAGTCCGACCCTTGTCAATTAACTACGGGGGTCCCTCAGGGCTCTGTTCTTGGTCCCCTCCTCTTCTCCTTGTACACAAACTCGCTCGGATCAGTCATTAGCCCGCATGGTTTTTCTTACCACTGCTACGCTGACGACACCCAATTAATTCTGTCCTTTCCCCGCTCAGAGACCCAGGTCGTCGCACGCATCTCTGCTTGTCTAGCTGACATCTCTCAGTGGATGTCTGCTCACCACCTCAAGCTCAACCTTGACAAGACTGAGCTGCTCTTCCTCCCGGGAAAAGATTGTCCCACTCTTGACCTAACAATCAACATCGGCACCTCAGTTGTTTCCCCGACTCAGACTGCAAGGAATCTGGGTGTGACCCTAGATAACAACCTGTCCTTCACTGCAAACATCGCTGCTACAACCCGCTGCTGCAGATACACGCTTTACAACATCAGGAAGATACGTCCCCAGCTGACTCAGAAAGCGACTCAGGTTCTGGTCCAGGCTCTCGTCATCTCACGCCTAGACTACTGCAACTCCCTCCTGGCTGGTCTACCTGCATGTGCCATCCGACCTCTGCAGCTCATCCAGAATGCAGCGGCTCGTCTGGTTTTCAACCTTCCTAAATTCTCCCACACCACTCCGCTCCTCCGCTCCCTTCACTGGCTTCCGGTAACTGCTAGAATCCTCTTCAAGACACTGGTACTTGCTTACCGTGCTGCGAATGGATCTGGCCCTTCCTACATCCAGGACATGGTTAAACCGTACACCCCAGCGCGTGCACTACGCTCTGCATCAGCCAAACGACTCGTTGCGCCCTCGCTGCGAGGGGGACCCAAGTTCCCATCGGCGAAAACACGTGGGTTTGCTGTCCTGGCTCCAAGATGGTGGAATGAGCTCCCCATTGACATCAGGACGGCAGATAGCTTGCACATCTTCCGGCGCAAACTGAAAACTCATCTCTTTCGACTCCACTTCGAGCGTTAGAACGATTAACGAAGCACTTTTATACCAATAAAGGACTGGATTACCTAAAGCCAGTTGAGTAGCACTTGAAATGTTTGGCTCTATGAAACCTGATATACTTATATGATTCTGTTTTCTTCAAGGTTGTGTCTTCCTGGTCGAATGTACTTATTGTAAGTCGCTTTGGACAAAAGCGTCAGCTAAATGCAATGTAATGTAATGTAATATTCCCCACTCAGCGAGACACCCGCTGAGAAGCCAACTCTGGTTATTGGTAGCTCTATTATGAGACACGTGAAATTAGAGACCGAAGCCTCCACAGTCACATGCATTCCGGGGGCCAGAGCGGGCGACGTTGAGGCGCATCTTAAACTGCTGGCTAAAAATAAACGTAAATACAGTAGGATTGTTATTCACGTCGGTGGTAATGATGTTCGTATACGCCGATCAGAATGCACCAAACTTAATGTGGAGTCGGTGTGTAGTTATGCTGAAACAATGTCGGACACCGTAATCTTCTCTGGTCCCCTCCCCAATCTGATCAATGATGACATGTATAGCCGCATGTCATCATTTCAGCGCTGGTTGTCTTGGTGGTGCCCAGCAAACAATGTGGGCTTCGTAAATAATAAGAGACAGGTGAGAGACAGGTGAGAGACAGGTGAGAGACAGGTGAGAGACAGGTGAGAGACAGGAGAGAGACAGGTGAGAGACATGTGAGAGACAGGTGAGAGACAGGTGAGAGACAGGAGAGAGACAGGTGAGAGACAGGTGAGAGACAGGTGAGAGACAGGTGAGAGACAGGTGAGAGACAGGAGAGAGACAGGTGAGAGACAGGAGAGAGACAGGAGACAGACAGGAGAGAGACAGGTGAGAGACATGTGAGAGACAGACAGGTGAGAGAGACAGGAGAGAGACAGGAGAGAGACAGGTGAGAGATAGAGAGACAGGTGAGAGATAGAGAGACAGGTGAGAGACAGACAGGTGAGAGACATGTGAGAGACAGACAGGTGAGAGAGACAGGAGAGAGACAGGAGAGAGACAGGTGAGAAATAGAGAGACAGGTGAGAGATAGAGAGACAGGTGAGAGACAGACAGGTGAGAGACATGTGAGAGACAGACAGGTGAGAGAGACAGAGAGACAGGAGAGAGACAGGAGAGAGACAGGTGAGAGACATGTGAGAGACAGACAGGTGAGAGATAGAGAGACAGGTGAGAGACAAACAGACAGGTGAGAGACAAACAGACAGGTGAGAGACAGACAGCGAGGTGAGAGACAGGTGAGAGACAGGTGAGAGACAGGAGAGAGACAGGAGAGAGACAGGAGAGAGACATGTGAGAGACATGTGAGAGACAGACAGGTGAGAGAGACAGGAGAGAGACAGG